TTTTTGACCAATTTTGTTTTAATTTTGAAAGGTTATGAACAGTTAAAATCTAGTTGCTTAGTGTGACTGTTTTAATGCTAAACATATTCATTTTGGGTATACTGAGAATATTTCTCTGTTTTTCAATATGAAATGCTCTACTTGGCTGTGTGTTTAATTATTGTCTGCTAATCAATGCTATTATTTAGAACATCTCTTAGACGTAACAACCTTAATACTTTCATAAAGCACCCTGAAAATTTAAATGCCCATTAAGTGAGGGCAGAGGTGCATTTTATTCATAATATAGCAGTACCCTCTAGTGCTCATGTTTGGTCATGTGTTCTCCAAAACTGCCTTCGAGGGGTAAATATCATATATTAGATCATTTCGCTCAGATTTTGCTTTAAGTGAAGTATTCTATTATTTATGACATCACCTTTTTGAAAAGGAGTTCAGGCATTTATAATATTATTCAAAAGTATTATCAGCACTTCCATGCTCTAGGAAAATGGCTATTCAATTTATTTTGCTCATAAAAGTAAATGAGAACCAAGTGCCAAGAAGTTGGTCAAATTACTTAAGTGATTTGTAGAAATGGAAGTAGAACTTAAGTCTTTTGTTCCAAGGTTCAGTTCTCTTCTATATATGTTGGACTATGTGTTTGATCCAAGAAATGTTAAATAAAGCTAAAAAGGTATATGTCCAAAATTCTAGATTCTTTTGAGTGAATCTTTCTGGAACAATAGTACTCTACTTTTTGAAAAATTTTAGACTGTCAGTTTACAAAACAGCACAGTATTATCTATCAGCCAGTGTACTGCAAAGGGAGTTGTGTTGTATTGGAGTTTGATTTATCATGGTTAAAAATCATTTATTCAGAAACAAAGGATTCTCTAACCAAGCTCTCCGTGAGCGAGAAGACCTGGTTTTATTTGCTCTTGAAAGCATTATCCAAAGCTTTATCACAGAGCAAATACGCAGATCGTAGCCCCTTTGGCTGTAAGACCAGGCCCGTTATTTATTACCATTTCAGTAGGTTTTACTTTTCTTGTAGACTTGATTTGGTAAGGTGTCTACAGCAAAATAGTCAACCCACGTAAGAACATAATTCTAATTTCTACATCTGTTTCTGGATAGCATTCTTAGATTACCTGAATTCGATCTTAATAAATGTTTTTTGTATCCATGTTTAGTTGTTACAGGGTAGGTCACCCAAGCCCGACAAGTGGGAACTTCACATGGGCAGTGGTGGTGGCATGGCGGAACAGGTCAGCGGGGACTGTGATGATGAAGATGGTTGTGGGGCATCAGGAAGTGGAGAAGTCAAGAGGACACTAAAAGTCACAGACTGTAAGTGTATGGTTCTAATACCACTTTTAAAGAATTGAATTTGAAATATTACTAAGGATGATTATTATATGAATGCAAAGAAATAATGACAGTGAATTTAGAAGCATGCTGGAGGAATTAGAAATGAAAATGAACCTATTTTTAGTTATTTTGGACATGCATTCTTGGGTTTTTGTTTACTTTTAACTTATGGCTTCAAATGTAAATTATACTTTTCTGTGAAAAACTAGTGAATTACAATCAGTTCTGATAATTAAAGGTTTTAAAGTAGGATGATCCTTAGGGCATGAAATAACTAGTATGGTGGATATTAAATATATATTGGTAAATAATGTGAAAACAAGGTGGATAAGCCCCACTAAATAAACAAGTTCTGCAATTTTTTTT